AGATGATCGATAGATAGACAGATGATAGATAGACAGATGATAGCCTGACCAGTGTGCTGTGTCATCATGGTGCCTCCCTGTCCCCTGGCATTCTTCCTTCTCTCCAGGAAAGTGGAAATACACAACTCTTTGCTTATATGTTGATTTTGTGTTGTTCCACCAGGCTGGGACAAGGTGTTGAAGGCAATGGGATGTCACTAGATGCCACTCCACAGTCCATTTCCCAGCAGCCTCGACTTGCTCCATGTGCAAGAAACTCAACATGCACTCTTACCCTTCTTACGTGTATATTTGAAAAACAGCACTTGACTTGCCCACCCTTCTTCCTAGGTGTGGGGCAGGGGGAGCATTTGCAGAAGTTACTATGTGAAAAGGCTGTGCATGACTCACAGACACTCAAGCCCAGGGATGTTAGGGATATCAGCTCCTCATAGGTGGCCACTAGACTCTGGCAATCTGTGAATGGATCATGAACCATGTCCCACACACCCAGAACGCAGTGGTGGAAGAGAAGGCTGGGGATACAAAGCACCTACTTCTTCACCAGGAACTCTCAACCACCAGAATTAACCTCATCTTCCCAAATTTGACACACAAGAAAAGAACAGGGTTTAGGAGGCTCCTCTGCCCGCTCCCACCCAGTGACAAAGGTGGCAAATAATTACCAGGAGAGGAGGCCCTTTAGGAGAGCTGCCTACAAATTGACTCAGCTTTCGAGAGTCATCCCTTAGGCTAAGTTGGGGGGCTGTTTGGTGCAGCTGTCTTTGGAGTCACCCACAACCCTGTAATCAACTTCAATAAACTCACTAGTTCACCAAATTTGGGTGGGGTCGTTTCTTGGTGTATCTGTGGGGCCCTATCTAGGCTAAACAGATCTTTGCTGTCATCTATGTAATAGGTAAGTATCAATATAATTTTTCCCTCATGGAAAGTAGTCGGCCAGCCTGGAAACCCATGGCTCTGTTTTGTAGCAATGTGTCCTGTGGCCATGACTTAGTGACATGTGCCCACATGGCATTTTGAATCACTTTTATGATTTCTCTTTACAAAGACTTCCTGGTCGCCCCCTCCCTGCTGCTCACACACACACACACACACACACACACACACACACACACACACACACAGTTTGACAGCTCTAGACTTTCAATCAGCTTTAGGGAAACGTGAAACAATTGGGTTCTTGGCAGATCATATCCTGGGGCAAGCTGCTGCAGTGGAAACAATTCCCCATATGTGGCTCGAGGGCCTAGAGGAAGGAAATCTCACTCCTTCTTCCTTTGCTTCCTCAGAAGGGGTAGATCTACAGTTTCCATGACTGTTCTTGTACCTTCAGATTCAGGTAAAGTCAAGAATTTGGCCCCCATCATTCTGAAGGTCACTGAGACCAGCTCTTTGCTGGTTCATAACATTAAGCCTGGCCTTGGTGGGGGAGCTTCTCATTCTGTTGGTTCCCGGATATGCAGTGGGGGTTGGGTACCCACTTTCTCTGGGACTCAGTTTATACTTGTGAAGCAGGGACAAGTATATCCACTCGTTTATGGAAACATAGAGAGAACTGGGCAGAAGTGCATGAGAAGTGCTCAAAATGGCCCTGACTGGTCATAGAACTACAGCCAACACAGGCTACCACATACAAAGTAAGGTGCCAGCTGTTCCGGGTCTCATGTGTGCTAGCTTGACTGGGAACATGTGTCTTCATGGAGACACCATGAGGTTACTGATAAAGAGGCAGAAAGATGCTCAGTGGTTATGAGCAAGTGCTGTTCTTGCTGAAGACACATCCCTGTTCCCAGCATCCACTACAGGGAGTCTGCAGCCACCTGCAACTCCAGCTCCAGGGGATTGGTGCCCTCTTCTGGTCTCCATGGGCACTGTACTCATACTGTACCCCTCCCTGATGTGGGATTCCCCTCTGTATGTTGTGAATACCATTAGTGAATAGAGAAACTGCCTTGGCCTGTTGATAGGGCAGAACTTAGGTAGGCAGGGAAAACTAAACTGAATGCTGGGAGAAAGGAGGCAGAGTCAGAGAAAAGACATGTAGCCCCACAGGAGTCAACAGAACTTTACCTGGTAAGCCACAGCCATGTGGCGATACACAGATTATTAGAAATGGGTTAAATTAAGATGTAAGAGTTAGCCAATAAGAAGCTAGAGCTAATGAGCCAAGCAATGATTTAATTAAAATAGTCTCTGTGTGATTATTTCATAGCTGAGCAGCTGGGAACCAACAAGTAGCCTCCTTACAACAAACTGGCACCCAACATGGATCCAAACTTCACAAAAAGGAATCCTAGACACAAAAGAACAGAGTTAAGCATGGTTTGATAATGGCATTTTTCTTGTGTGGGCTCTGTTTGCTGGAAGCAAGCAGAGGCATGGCTCCTTTAAGAGAGGTTTTCCTGACTCAGTGGTAGCATAAAAAAAGCCACACTGCTTTGAAATGCCGGCTTTCTGGGCCATGCTGCCAGTGCTACCTCTTGCTCTCTCAGGAGGCAGAGCATTTAAATGGGGTTTGTAAGCAGTGTGTTACTATTTGTTTAATGGCTCAACATAGACCCACTGCAGACTTGTAACTGGGGCTGTGTGTGTGGCTCAGAGGCAGTGAATGGACCTCCTCTGCCATGTCTGACTGGTGGGCCAAGCAGGCAGTGCCATATTTCCCCTAGCAATGGCGCCTCTTAATTTCATAAGAAGGGCTTAGCATTTTAAGAAGCACTCTGGTCAGAAAATAATTACAAATATACAATAAAGACAAATTCAGGTGGAAAAGACCTCTAAATGGGTCACAGTGTTAGATAAATGTACATAGGCTTGGGAGAGAGAAGAAAAAGAATATAGACAGTTATAAAAAGAAGTAAATGGTTTTTAGGGAGAAAAAAGGTAAAGTCTTTAAAGAGACAGAGTACAGATAGTCATAGATTAAAGGAGTAAATAAATATTAAAAAGTAATAGAGTAAGAAAAGCCATGTAAAGATCTAGTATACACAGAAAGTCTGGATTATGTATACTATTGTGTTTTCTTTGAATTTTTTTGACTGCAGAGAGACATTTGATTTTGGGGATGCTAAGCTAAACCAACATATATATTTTAAAGGTTTCTTGATTTTAGAATCTGAGTCTAAAGATATGTTGCTTTGGAACAGAAGTTCTTCTTTTGTTTCCACAGAGAGTGAAAACCTGTAGATTAATTCCAGACTAATGTAGTTTGATGGACCAAGACCCTCTGAAAGGTTGCCTTGAACATCCCTCAAAATATACTTCACTCAACTGCTGACTGAGATGAACCTAGCACATAGGATACACCATGAAAGATCTAATTAACAGCACCCCCAATCAGCAGGAAGTAGTCTGGAGAACTATGCCCATATTCCCAAATATTGTCTATAAATGTTTGCTTATATTTAAAGAGGAACATGCTATAGATATGGATACTTTGCACTGGTATGGATCTTGGTTTATTGATACAAATTTATGGTCAATTTTGTTATAGTGTTTATTTCTGCTCTTGATTAAGGTATTGTGTTTATGCAGCTCATTTAAAAATATAATGTTTAATTAGGAAATATGCTAATAGATAATCATCTATAATAGCCAAGCTTGTAGTCATGTTAGGTTTTCTATATATTGAGAGATATATTTCAGTTAGGTATTGATGTGGGATTTTTCTCTGTATGCTGTGGTTACCATTAATGAATAAAGAAACTGCTTGGGACCTATAGCAGGGCAGAACTTAGGTATCCAGGGAAAACTAAACTGGATGCTGCAAAAAAGGAGGTGGAGTCGAGGAGAAGCCATGGAGTCGTTGTCAAGAGGAAGATGGGCATCGAAGAGGCTCCTTATGGAGCTGGTTAGCCAATGGGCAAAAAACTGCTCTTGCCTGGACTGCTTGATGAACTGGACACACAGGCTGAACTTGCCTGAAGGTGAGATGATCCTTTAGGGTTCCTGCTTCATAAAAGAATCTGAAAGACATTCTGCAGGACACAGGAGAAAGCAACTGATGGCTTTTGCCAATACAAGGCAGAACAGATCTTCATACTTCCTGCTTCATGGAAAAGTCTGCTGGATACTATGGGCCTGTAGGCTGAAGATTGGATGCCCCATATTTACAGAAGACCTTTGGGTGACTGTCCAGGCAGCAAGATGTCTCTGTCAATTCTAGAGATTTGGAAATTGTTTATAATGCAATTCTTGCTTACTTAGGTAATATTATATCCTTTTAGAGTCTTTGACAGAGTTGAAGAATTTATAGTTATAGTTTTCCTTAGATATAAGTAGATATAAAAATTGTAACTGTAATTCTTGCTTGATAACTATTTTATGTAATTTTACTATGTTAAAGTTAAACCTTCCTTTTTATTACAGAAAAGGGGAGGTGATATGGGATTCTACTCTGTATGCTGTGAATACCATTGGTGAATAAAGAAACTGCCTTGGCCTGTTTATAGGGCAGAACTTAGGTAGGCGGGGGAAACTAAACTGAATGCTGGGAGAAAGGAAGCAGAGTCAGAGAGAAGACATGTAGCCCCACAGGAGCCGAACAGAACTTTACTTGGTATGCCACAGTCATGTGGTGATATATAGATTACTAGAAAAGGGTTAAATTAAGATGTAAGAGTTAGCCAATAAGAAGCCAGAGCTAATGGGCCAAGCAATGATTTAATTAATATAGTTTCTATGTGATTATTTTGAGGATGGGCAGCCAGGAACCAACAAGCAGCCTCCTTACAACACCTCCCCACATACACACATAATTAAAAATAAAATCTTTTCTAAAAACAGTTACTAATAAGCCAGGGCTGGTTGCACAACTCTCATCCCTCTGATTCCCCCACTGCCCAGCGTGGTTCTCCTTCCTGCTGCGTTCACTCCACTAACTGAGCATGCCAGCCAGGACTCCACAAACCTCCCAGTTTATTCAGGACTCCGCTCTCCAGCTCTGCGCAGCACTGGATACACACAGCTGAAAACAGAATCTACCACACATCAAAAGCTGATTGAGAACTATTTTATTTTGAAACATTTCCTTCCATAGTCCAAAGAAAGAAAATGAACGCAGAGTTGTGGTTCACAGGTGTGAGACACACAATTATTGTGGTTTTGTGACAATGTTGACGTGTGTGTTTATTCCACACTCCAAACTATGGACTCAGTATAACCTTTCAAACAAAGAAAGTGTCGGTCATAACATAACTTGAAGATTATCCTTTTCCGTTAAAAAAGAAAAAAAAAACAACCAGGGAAGAAAACACTGGAGGGGGCAGTGAACTGCCCACCAGGAAGTGACACAGAACGCGAGTCACATTTTCCTTCGCTCTGCCAGTGACAGACAGACTACGGAAGCACCAACCAGCCCTACGGAAACACTAAGCTCTTTGGAATGAATCCTCTTGGACAGTTCACGAGCTTCCTGTAGGAATGGGTGAACATGGCTGTGTCAAGCTGGCAGTGGCTATGTATCTCCTGTTGTGTTCCCAAACTAACAGAAGAAAGTGAGGAGCAAAGGTCTACAAGGAGACCGGGTGGGAGAACCCTGGGCGATCAGGGCAAGACAAACTCAACCAATCAGTGCCCAGCGAGTCTGAGGGGGTGTGGCTGAGGCCTTCCAGGGGAATGTTTTAAAGGCATGGGCCCAAAGGCACCAGCGCTGAGCTTGCTCACACCAAACCCTTATCAGCTGCTTCTCTTCCCCTTCTTTAGAACCATCTGCGGGGCTTCAGTGCAGAGTGAACTCTAAACAAACAGGTTCCACGTCACTCTTGTGTTATCGCAAACTGTGAAGTGCAAGGATTATAAAAAGTAGTTAACTTTTTAAAAAAGCATATAGTAAAAAACCAAAACAGGGGACATGTTCAGATTTATGAACAAACGAGCTCCCGGGATTATTACTAAATCATGAGGCAGTGGGAAGATTGGGCCAAGATGTGAGAGGCTGCCAGACAGGGCCCGGTGTGCCTGACTAAAGCGGGCATCTTTAACAACACCCTAGTTGAAATGAGAATGACGGCGACGGCTCGGCCGGTGTCCCGGGCTCAGCACTGTCTTGCACTGACATTCAAGTGTTTCTGGTCACCAGGGAATGGAGTTGACGCAGCTCACTGTTTCCAGAAATCACGGCTCCCTTCATGCCCACCCACTGTCTCTGATGCAGGGGTGGGAACTGGTACTCACTCCACTCTGGCGGGCTGGCAGGGATGTCTGGTAGCACTGACCATCAGGTCTTCTGAGAGCAAACAGTGGCAGAGAGGGAGAGGCACACACCTCATACTCCCCACTCCTGGTCTAAGAACAGCCCTTAGCAGACCCTAGGACCAGCAGCGTTAAGCCATACTCACTAAACACCGGTTGACAAAGACATCAGAGCCCTGCCTCTGTTTACCTCTTTGACCAAACAGGCTTGAATGTTAGCCGGGAATCTGAAGATGGCACCCCTAAACAACTTTAGCACAAGGACACATTTCCCTCTACCTGCAGTACGCTCTCGCTCCCTCAACTTGAATGAAAACCTAAGGCCTTTGGAATTTCTCGGGTTCTTGGTTTTAGAAACAAAACAAAACAGAAAACACCATAGTCAAAGTCTTCTTTGGTTTCATGCTTCATCTTAAGCCTTTTGTTTCTGGCCGGCATCCCCAGCCTTCCAGAATCTTTGATGTTACATTTTAGCGCGGACTGAAGAAGTTACCGGTTCTCACACTATCATCTCAGAACCTTTCCAAGGTACCGAGGTGAGAAGCCTCTTGAGTCGGAACACTGAGGTCGGGGCAAAAAAAAAAAAAAAACCCCTTCCACCAACCAACGCACTAGACTCTTCTGGCAGGCAGCTCCCACGGGGTGTCCTCCCAGACACTTTCTGCCACACAGTGGGAGTCAGAATCCCTCAGAAACATCTGGGAGTGGGTAAGGCACTAGGGAATGGGAAGAAAATAAAGACAGTACCATCTAAGGAGCTGCCTGAAGGCGGGAAGGGTTTCAAAGACACAGTCATTTGGCTGAAGTCTCCAACTGGTACCAGCAGAAGGAAGCTCTAGCTCTCAAAACGTCCACACGGGTGAAGGGCGCAGGCAGACGGATGCCATGAAAGCTGCCCAGTCTTTCCCCAAGCACGGCTGGCAGCAAGAACAACAGAATTCTGTTGGGAGTCTGTGCATCTAGATCCTCTTCCCCACCAACAGTACAAGGGCAACCTAGCAAGCCGGGTTGTTAGGAGCTTGGCGGATGACAGTGGTTACCTCCATTTGGTCCAAGTTGAGCATTAGGAAATACGCCCAAGAGACGGTGCTCAGGAAGAGACGTGGCTGACTGGCAGACACAATGATGTACCTTTAACCGCCCATCTTTGCTCAACGCTAACTCAACACCCATCATCTCTGAATATGGGGTTAGGCTGCATACGGTGAAGAGTCACAGTGGTGAACATAAATTAGATTCTAAGGTGCAGTAGTGAAATTATAGACTCCCCAAAACTCCGTTCTACAGCGAAATATAAATTAAATCTATTCTATAAGTACCACTTTTTGGTGAGGATTTCAGTTTTTGTTTTTTTGAAAAGAACCCAACATAAACAATTTAAAAAATAATGGAAAAAGAAAGAAGGACAGGGTTGCACAAGGCCTACAGTCCCAGCAGTGGGGAGGCCAAGCTGAGAATCCCAACTTTGGGGTTATCCTGGGCTATAAGGCAATGGCCTGCAAGCTTCCAACAGCATTATAAGCAGGTTACAGACTGGAAAGCTACTGGTAGATTTGGTGACAAGACCCTGAGATCTGTCACCAAGTCCCAAATAAACACTAACAGAATTTTTTTGTTTTGTTTTTTGAGATGGGGTTTCTTTGTCTAGTTTTGGCTATCCTAGAATTCTGCACACCAGGCTGCCCTCGAACACAGAATTTTTAAATAGCTGTGCAAATAGAAGTTTTATAAGTAGACTCTCTGGGTATATTAGAGGCATGGCTGTAAAAAAAACCCTGAAGATACTGGGGAGAGGGGATACCATCCCCCCTCTGCGTGACCAGCCACTGGGAGAGCAGCCAAGAGCAATGAATCTGCCTGTAGTTTTGGCTTTTCTACAGAGCTTTCTTAACTGTGTAAGGTGGCTGTCACTGACCGGGCACTGCCCGCCGCCCACTGCTGGGGCAGAGACAGAGTCTGGCTTGGTTAACCGACTCCACTACAAGAGAGCAGCTGGTCATAGCAAATGCTCTTCAATCAAAATTCCTGTAAGTGAGGGCCTTGTTGCTGTTAAGTGCTGGAGATTAAACCCGGGGCCTCTCGTGCATGCTAAGTGGGCTCTTAAGTTTGTTAAGAAACACGGACCCGTGATTGGCAGATCCCTTTATCCGTCGTGAACCGACTCAGTGAACTCTCTAGAGCTGTTGCTCACTGCTGTTGGCATGAGAGCCATGAGCCAGCACCTCAATTCCGACATGCCAGCAGAGGTCATTCGTGTCTGTACGGAATCTCACCCCCGCTTTCTAACGTAAACGAGCTACAGCCACCTTGCCTTTAAAGGCAGCCCGTGACCGCACACCTGCCCCTGCGCAGGAATCCTCATCTAGATGTGCAAAACTTGTTTGTTTATTTTAAAATTTTAAATCTTGAAACAAGATCTAAGTCAATACATTCAATAAGAACAACGCACAAAGGCATGTTTTCCTTATGTGGTACTCCCTCATCTAAGACTCCATTTATAAAATGTTAAGAGCAATCTTCTAAACATAAAGACCTCACAACGCAGGGTCCATGACCCACACAGGCCTGCATTTGCCACACGCAGCCTGAGGCTGGCCAGCCTGCTTGCGCAGCCTTCTCAACCGCAGACAGGCTGGAGAAGTAGCTGGCATGCGCTCATCCAAGTGTGTGGAGGGACCAGCTGCGTGTGCAGATTCCCTGTCTGGCTCGACCATTATAGTGGACAAGGCAGTCACAACTGTGGGCCCCTGCAGACAGCTCTAACTCCAGCTAACTCAACATCAGGACCTTACTTAAAACATTGAAAAAAATTTTTTAAAGGTAACTTAACTGTGCACGAACTTGGTAAATGGTAATGCAGTTCCTAAATGTCAAAAGGCTGGACACACCTGTCGGATCCCTGAAACACATATATAATAAGGCGCCTTACCAGAGAATCTGGGTGACAACAGAGACCAGAGGAGTGAGGAGGTGGTTCCTAACGCTTGTCAAAAAAAAAACCTGAACATGAAAGAGGAAAATCCCCTACTCATGACATCTCAGGTGACCAAAGGAAATAGCATTTTTTTAAAGTCATCTTTACGGGACTAGCATGAGGCCCTAGGTTCTACCCCCAGAGGGGAGAACACAGAAAAAAAGCCATCCAAATACTCCATTGTGCCAGATGCTGACCTCGGCCCTTATGGGGCAGACCCTGGCTGTCTACTTTCTAATGCTGAGTTTTAGTTGTTGGCCCAAGATGGTTAGGTTTGGAAGAATACTTATGGCATTTGTTCCCATGATGTGTAAAACAGCCTAGAAGGGATAATGTTGGTGTCCTTCCCCCAAGTCTTCAAGTAATTAGTTCAAGAAAGCTTATTTACAGCCAAGCCTCCGACACACACGGCCTAAGTTAGTCTACTGTGCCCTTCGGGAATCGGAATGTCAGAGGGTTGCCTTCCTCCCCTCTCGAACCAGATTGTTCTTCTAAACACTGTTAAATCATTCAGGTCTCTGCTTTGTTGGGTAGATAGAGAGAGGAAATCAACAAGTTATGCCCGAAGGCTGGGAACCGCCGGAAGGCTTCCCAGCTGTCGGCGAAGATGTTGTACTTGAGAAACACTCGGTGCTCCAAGCTGGTGGACAGGGTGACGTCCCTGCTCATGATGTAGATGCCATCGTTGTGCAGGGCACAGGTCAAGTTCAGGCCCGACTTGGACGTGTTCTCTTTCAGGTAGAGCCACTGCCGGGTGACCGTGTTGTAGCACTGCACGGTGAGCATGTCCTCGCTCTGACTGCTCCTGCGGTTGGGCCCCAGTTCGTGGAGACACCCACCCACCATGTAGATGGTCTCCTCCACGGACACCATCTGCTGCTTGCGGATGTGGACGTCACAGGTCTCAAAGAGCGTCCAGAGGTCAGAGGAGGGACAGTACTGCAGGATGTTCATGTTGCGATCTGAAACACAGAAGGAGGCCAGATGACAAACGCCCGGGACATGCCATGCATCACCCAGGCAGGGGGGACCCAGCTTCGCCACACATACCATGTGGCCATAGGCAGTCGAAGCTCCGTCAGAAAGGTAGGGGCTAGAGAAGTGGGTTTTCAAGCAGAAGGGGAAGGGGCCATCTGGATTCTCCCTTCTTAGGAGGCCCTCAGAACCACAAAGTCAGAAGCCAGACATGGGGGCTCATTGCCTACAATCCCAGCACTAGGAAGAGCTAGACAGGAGGACCATGAGTTTGAGGGCAGCCTGGAAAGAGTAGTTTTGACTTAAAGGCAACTTGTGGATGCTGTTGTAGACAGATGGCTACAGGGAGATGCTGTAGGACTCAGAGCCGGGCCACGGCTCCTCCGAGGGAAGAGTTAACCTCAGCAAGCCCTGGTTGCGGCCTATCTCAGGGCACCTTCTCACCACTGTAGCTCATTCTATGCTTTAACGAGCAGCCCAGGCCACCAGAACTCTAGAGATCTATGCTGCCTTACACAAAATAGAAAGTCCACATTGTAAAACTGAGTCCTTGGCAGAATGATGGTATGTCTACCCAAACATCCAGTTAGCCCTAGACAGGTGTCAACAAATAGGATTCACAGCACTGCAAACACTGCCTGTCTCGGGAGAAAGCGCTGGAAACCATAGAATAATGCCTCGTAGAGCGCCGTTCTCCGCCCTCTGGCCTGTGCAGCCTGACCGGCATGGCAACCTGCTGAACCACATGGTCAGCATAGAGTTCAACAGTCTCAGATTCTCATGTGGTATGCCTGACTACACAGGAGGCAGGCCCAGCCGCAACAGGGTCTGTCCTTGACAAACTCTAAACACCATGCCAGAAGCCAACAGAACAGGCTTTCCTGTCAGGAGACACAGAAGCCTCAGCGCCTGCTCGTCACAGCGGCAGACTGACTCGCAGACCTGCTTCCCAGTGCAGCCCCAGAGACACACCAACGGCCTCGTCTCCTGCCTGTTTGTGGCCATGTGGCTAGAAGCCAGGGAAAAGGCCTTCTTTGTCATTGCTTTTAACTAATAGCTAACTTCTTGGAGAATAAATATAGTCTCTTTCTTTTTGAGAAAAAAATGCCTGTCATACTAGCTACTTAGGAGGCTGAGGCAAGAGGATTTCAAGTTCAAGGCTAGCCTGTGCTACAGAGTGAGTTCAAGGCTAGCCCTGGCAACTTGGTGAGTAAATGTAAAAAGAAAGTCAAGAACACAGAGTGGTAGCTAGGGTGCATGCAGTTCCCAACCCTTGCGATGTCCCCAACACTGCAAAATAAGAAAAACAGAAAATCACGCTGTGAGATTCAAAATATAGGGCTTTGCTTTGCTCTTTTTAAACTTATTTTTTAAAATATTTTCTTCTCTAGGAAAGCATAAACGGTCTTAGCTAAAGCAAGGAAAGGAAAGTATTAACAATTTAAAAAAATGAAGTCTTTTTTTCTGTTCATTTTTGTTTCGTTGCTATTGTTTTTTGAGACAGGGTTTCTCTGCGCAACCGCCCTGGCTGTCCTGGAACTAGGCTGACCCCAAACTCAGAGAGATCCGCCTGTCTCTGCCTCTGAGTGCTGGGATTAAACCCAGAAAAGAAAGTTACTGTTAAACAACAAAAACTATCAGTGGTGAAAACAGCTCAGATTGGGAGCCACCCCAGCACAAGCACCCAGCAATGGACCAGCACATAACTGTATCAATGTATCTTCCCATAGCAACGGACCTGCCCATAGCAACTGACCCTCCCACAGCAATGGACCCATTCATAGCCACAGACTCTCCCATAGCAACAGACCCGCCCATAGCAACTGACTCTCCCACAGCAATGGACCCACCCATAGCAACTGGCCTGCCTACAGCAAAGGTGAACACCACCCATCCCATTCCACCCCCACCTCACCTGCAGCTCCCAGTAAAGAGCTCCACAGTCAGATCTGGCATGATGGTGCACATCTGTAACCATGCCACTCAGAGGCTGAGGCAGGAGGTCTGCAAACTGAGGCCAGCCTGGGCTGCACAGTGAGACCTTATCTCAGAAAGACAGAGGGGGCGGAGGGGGCACAGACAGACAGGAAAGCTCCAGAGCCAAATCTGGTTCCAAGCGAGCAGGGCACAGAGAAACCAGGTCCTTAGTGAACGCGGGTCCCCATGCTCACAGGCTCTCCACCCCTAGGAAACTGCCTTTCTGGTCCTCACACAAGTCCGCACGTCCCTACAGACCAGGCAACAAGACTCTAGGGCCCAGATAAGGAACTCTTGTTAGTCTACCAAGGACACCTGCCTGGGTCACCTGGAAGTTTCTCCTCACTCCAACAGACAGCCTGCAGGCCTTCCTGGGCGTTCTGCAAGCTCCCTCCACTCAGCGCTGGCTC